TACTCCACCGTGTGGTCTCTGGTAGCTAATGCTATTCTGCTCTGTATGGACACTCGTGTTCTGCCTGGAGCACACTGCAGTGGTTATGTTAAATAGCCTTTGTGAAGGTTTCCAGAGCTCTAAATTAAAAATGCAGAAAGCTCGGAAGGAGGGAGAGAGGGATGGGAGAGGGATGCTTTGTAGCTGGAGCGTTAGAATGTCTTGCTACCTAATTGCCTGAGAACATGTGGGCTTGAATGAATCCTCTTTAATGAATAATAGGCAAATGCATAAATCGCAAACCCCAAGCACCCAAATGATGAAATGTGCACTAATGAAGACTCTGACTTCTCCAACAACAGCAGGTGTAGAGTTGATTTGTAAAACGTCGTGAATATAACAGGTTTAAAATGATATATTTATTAAAAGAAACAAGTCTTCCATGTGTTCCTCTTGTATTCACTCATGCTGCACAACTACTCTTCTCGCATGATATTGCAGGCTGCAGATTCTCAGCAGTTTCTTGCTGTTACTCTTGCCTCGAAGAGCAACAATGGAGACCAATTACCCTCTGTCTCCACTTGTATTGCAATAAGCCTGAGGTCCCCCCACTACCTTTTCAATTTCAAATCCTAACCCTGTCAGTAGTGCCATTTGTGGATTTGAACTCCCTGGCTTTATGTGCAGCATTATCTAGAGATTCACCTGGTACTGATCCAATGAACCAACGCAACCTTACAAAGCTGAAGGGAAGAGTGTAGAGTTCTCTTTGTATTAAATCATATGCCATGAAAAAGGATTTCTTTAACTCCTTTCCTCCATTATTCTCTGTATCTCACCTTGTGGAAATGGGTCTGTTAGTGAGAGACACGTGGTAGGGAAAATGAATGGGGGGCAGGGGGTGGGGAGAAGAACCCAAGAGAAAAGAAGGCAGAGGTCCTGGAGGTTTCTGAAACTTGAAGATTGTAGAAAGTAAAGACATAACTTGAAAGAATAGGAAGCAGCCCTAACAATAAACCTAGCATATGCCTTGATACTAAACCTTCCTCTATTCCAGCAAGAGATGAGAATGTTTTCATTACAGCAGATGTCTAAGAAGTCTGTAAAACCTCTGATAAGTTAAGCCCCCAGAGGCAAGGAGGTTCTGTCCAGACAGTTGCCCAGCAAGCTGAATGCAGGTCTGAACATTTTTTGGTTTAACTGAGTTGAGATGGTAACCTCTTGAGATCTGGCTGTCTCCCAAGTAGGGTGGGATAAATACTGCAAAATGTTTCAGTTTCCATTTCAATTTTGAAGCTCATTTGCTTTGACTGAATTTGTACTGTGTTTATGTAAATTTGTAAACACTGTAATAAATTTATCTACTGGTTGGTAGAAAACAGAAATTTTCGAAAAAGACTGAAGAACATTTATGAAGAACAAATTCTAATTCAATCAAAATAGTGATAGAACCTGATTTAAATATAAATTGTCAGAAAACAAAAATATGTAAGTGGCACGTGTATCTAGCAAACCCTAACTAGCACAGTCCAAAATTCAAGCAATTGTTAACGGCTTAAATATTTCATGTGACATATATGTCATTTTTATCAGCAATTACTCTGTAATACAAACATCAGGTTTTCATAGTATGAATGACGTCTGCATCAGGTAGGTGAGGTAATAGCAACAATTTGCTACTTTGCTTGTTGTAGGAAACTCAGTTCCTCCTGATTACACCTTTCTCTAACCGGTGAGAGTCTGCACATATCATTCTTGCCTGTCTCTATGTCAATATTATCTTCCATGTTCATCGGCATGACCTCATGGAATGCAGTATTTTCCAATGCCCTTACCCTGGAGATGTTCACCTCCTTCACCTATCACTAATTTTGAAACCACTTTTGTCTTCTCTTGAGCCTGTTGGAGTCTGTGACATCTCCTGCTTTGTTTTCTTCCTTGTCACTCTTCAAATGTTTTTCTTAAACTGGCCTTTGGTAGAATTTATCTAGCTTGGTTTATGTTGCCTTTTTTTTTTTTTTTTTTTTTTTCTCTATCCTCTTATTTTTGTACAGAGTGCATTAGTTCGATTACTGCACAAAATAAATCTAATCTCAGCAGGAATTATTTGGAAGTCCTTTCCCATTTTGGGAAATACTTAGTCATATAAGGAACCATGCTGAAGCCACTTGCAGTCTGAGTAAGGGAGAGATCTGGTCTTAAATATTGAAAGATACCCTGTTATATCAGTACATAGCTGTTTCCCTTTGCAGAGCTGCTGTTTCCATAGCTTACCTATATTCTCACTTTGCCTACTCAGTGCTTAAAGGAGCAGATGAATAGTTAAGCGATGGAAATAGCATGCAGTGTGTACTAGAAACAAACTGTTTAAAGGTTGGTAGGGGGAATTACAAAGCAGTGCAAGATGCAGTTTTTAAGTTATCCTGAGCTTGCATTGGAGGTACTACCACAAGGGAGATTGCATCATCTGGGAGCAAGAGAGTATAATCTATGCTGGATCTGTAGTAGGCATGTGGGAGACTCTTGCCGTATGTTTTGGTCATGTCCTGATATACGTGAGCTTTGGGAGACAGTTCTACATGTAATAGAGTCAATAATCAAATCTAAAGTAACAAGGAACACAACTTGATGTTACCTTAGAGAGACCATGAGTTTGCAGCAGATAAATAATAAGGATGCGGTAGATACAAATGTGTCTTTAGGCAAAAAGGAAATAAAAAATAGACTTGAAAGAAAAGAAAAAAAGAAAATTTTACACTGTTGCCATACTGGAAAGAAATAGTAATGCCTCCATCAGAAATCAAATTAATTGTTGTTAAATTGATAAAGATGTGATATCACATCAAAGACTGGCTAAATGATATTTGGAAATTGATTTAGGATTCTATTAAATAGAGCTCAGAGGAGCTTCCCAAATGAATAACTTGTTTGTCAAGTATTGCTTCTTTCTATTTATAAAGACTTGTTGAGCCAAGACAACTATCTTCAACTATTCTTCTTGCCTGAGCTATGAGATTCATTACTAACAAGAGATTCACAGAAAATTTAGCTATTGCAAAATGCAACACCTGGGTATTTTACAAAAGTTGGATATTGCTTACTTCTGTTCCCTGTAGGGATGATTTATACAATGTTATCCAAATAGTCCCAAGCCCAAGATAAGAATATTGACAACCTATGTGTGAATTTAAAGTTTGCTTTTGCTGCTCTATGGCTTGCCCACCTCAGTGTATTTAGGAGCTAGAGTAAAATCAAAATATGCTTGGTTTTTGTAGTGTTATTAGTTTGAAATATTTAAATGGGAGACTTCAACCATGGGGGCATAAGATTTGAGGTTCTAAACTCTGAAGAAAGTTGTCTTGTAGGCTGTGCATGCTGTTTTCTTGGGAATTCTTTCAAAATATAATAAGATTCATGATGATCACCACAGCTTCTGTTTGTTAAATGAAAACTCATTCCTGTAATTCTGTACTTCTACCAGTTTTATCCCAATGTAATTCCACCTATGTCTCTGAAAGTACTTCTGATTTTATATCAATGTCTGTGAGATCAAAAGAAAATAGGATTAGGAGAACCGACTGGAGAGAGAGTTTATGTTAAGACAAAAAAATAAAAGGAGAGAAAAAAGAGCTTCTATAATGTTTTGTTTTATGTTGGGGTGGAAACAACAGCCTTAGTTGTCTGTAAAATTGCTGGGGTGTCCAGGCAAGACACACAGCTGTTCTTTGGATGAGCAGACTGGTAATGGCCAAGACAGGGAGGCTATTTTCTCTACTACATCCCGTGTTCATCCCCTCATCTTTCTTAGTATTTCACTTGTCTGTATGCAGCTTTTTTTTGGGATTGATGTATACAGTCATCTTTTTTGACTGCTAGGGAAGTGAGAGCATTTCCCTTTCTTTTTGCCAATTAAACTAATGTTTTTCAGTCTTCAGATTCTTAAAATTTTTATCAAAAGATAATGCCACTGGAGTAAATCTCTATTGTTTACATAGGTGTGTTTAAAAGATTAAGGCTGAACAGGCATTTTCATAATAGACCAGGGATCAATGAAAGCCCTTGTTTTCTCAAGAAGATTTAAGGCTTAGCAATGAAGTTGATTTTTTTTTGTTTGTATTATGTATAAAGTTGCATTTCTGCCTGGGCTTTTGTTATTTCTGTGGACTTTGTGTAATCTTTCATAAAATTCCTGTTGTGATCTTAGATCACAGTTCCTGACATTCTGCTTCTTCTCACTGGTCCCAAGCTCAGCTTGAGAGAGTAGAAGGGACTTATCTCCCACCTTATATCACTGGCCAGGGATTGTCTGGCTGATCTTTGGAGTGAAAAGGAAAATGATTTCCTTCTTTTGTTTATGCCTCCTCCAGATTTTTAATTTCTTGGGTGTTTCCCCTACCAAGAGCCTCACATTTCAATGGGGCTTCACTCAGAATGGAATATTACTCCATAGGGCCAAGAGCAGCAAAATAGAATGTACAGACAGTATACTGAGAGGTATATGAGTCAGGGCAGGAAGGAGAAGCCAAGGTGGCATACATGCTTCGCTGCCCGCAAGATCCGATGGCCAAAAAGCATTCTAACTTAGTGTCTTCGCTAGCTAACTTTTGTATAGGCAATTGCAGAAGAGGAAAAAACTAAGGCCCTGGGTTAGTGGAACAGTTACATTCATGCTTTAAATCCTTTAAGCACGTACTTCATGGCCATTGATTTCAATGCTCTTAACAGCTTTGCTGGGTCAAGGCCTGACTGAGTGCAAAGTAAAGGCCTGGAGATGCCCTTCATCCTTGTGGCTGAGGATCTCCAGCTGCAACACGGCACAGATGGGGATCCCCAGGCACAGGCAGGTGCCACACTCCTTTTCCACACTCATGTGGCCAGCTGGTGGAAGGGGAAGGAGAGAGGGAGCATCTGTGCTGGGAAGGAGAAGGAGGCTGAATGAAAGATAGTTCTACATCTGAAGCCAGAAGTGTCGGAAGCCCATATATATATGCGTTGTGTTCTTTTTGTCTGTGTGTGCACAGGTGCTCTCTGATGGGTTTTGATTTAAACCGGCACTGGGCAAATCCATCTCCATGGGCTCATCCCACCTTGCATGGAGTGAAGCAGCTCATCGTTGAGATGTACAACAACCCGGTGAGTGGGGAAGGGAACAGCAGCCACTCACCTCGGGTACAGACTGTCTCCTCCTGTGGGCGTTCTGCAAGCTGCCAGCAGCCCTGACATGGCTTAATCCAGTGGCAAACCAATATAAGAGAGAAGTAAGCACAAACACCCCCACTGCATGAGATTACGGAACATCTGAAGTATCTTTTGGTTGCAGAAAGCATCTTAGTGGAGAGAGCAAGTGAAATGAAGTTCAGCTCGGATTAAATATGAAGTAATGCTGAAAGCAGACCCTAAATTCAATTGAGCTGCTCTCATGATGTCCTGAGCTGGATTTGAAACAGCAGGCCCCCCAAATTGAATTACTGAATGGCATTGATGCTTAATCCATAGCTCTGGCAGAGGTTGCTATGTAGCATGCAGAGCAGGAGGGAGATAATATTTGCAAATATTATATAAATACACACGCACACACTCATGCTCACTCAGAGAGGCAGAGGTGTTCTCAAAGGTGAAATCTTAGCTAATCAGAGGAGATGGATTGCAGGGAATATGGAGAAGCGGGAGGCAGGCAGATAGCTATTGAATGTTTGACATCAAAGTGCAGAAGGATTATTGAATGTGGCACCTAAGAAAAACTGCTGAACAACGATGGAGATGGGTAGGAAAAAATCACTACCGAAAAATAAGAGCAGATCTTACAGCTTGTTATTTTATTCTGTATGGAATTTCTGATATTTGTCCTTTCTTTTTGCTTTGGATCTTTATTTTCACAGAGGCTTTTTTTTTCTTTTTCTTTCTGATAGTGTTTTGTTTTGTTTAAAAAAAAAAAAAAAAAAGAAGGGACCTGGTTTGCCCAGGGTTAATAAAGAAAGGGTATTCCTACCCTTGGCTTCGTCTAGTGTAGAACAATATCTAAAGAGCTACTTCACTTTAACTCCTGCTTCTGCCAATATATCTTCACTGGACTTTTTCAGATAGATAGCAGTAACACCTGTACAGAAGGTGCTTTAGGCACAAAGAAGACAAATTAATAGTTAGTGTCCTAAATAAGGGGAGGAATCCTATTGTATGTAAAATATTTTCTTGTTTGGCTTGCATTTTTTTCTGTTCTGTTTGTGCCATACCTAGCTCTGTGCCTAAAGCTCTTCATCCATCCTATAAGTTAGAGTGATGATGATGGAATGAAAAGGAAGGAGTATTCCAGATAGTTTGATCTTTTCTACTCCAAAGAACAATTTCCTTCTAGAAGACAGAGTGTGCAAGCCACTTCAGATGAAGAGAAAGTTGTTTTCTTTTTTTTTTCCAGGGACAAAGAGGTCCTTAAAAATTATGAGAGGGTTGGGTGTAGGGAAAGCACATTAAATAGTAAAGCAACACCTCTTGTCAAAGTTAAAAGTCACTATCAATAAACTAAAGCTATTCTTGGGAGAAAAAAAGTGTTTTCAACTTTGTCCCATTCCTGGGAAGCTTTAAAGACTCTGGTAGTTTTCCTGTTGCCCTGTGTGCAAAGAATCAATTTATTTGCTCTGGTAGCTGAAATGAAAAATCAGAAGAAATGTTTAGTTGGAGTTGTTATGAAATGGAAATGTTTTTCTCCTCTATCTCTCTGTCTCCCACCCCTCCCCAATGATCAACCTGAGATGAACCAGTTCCAGTTCATTTCCTTCTGAGAAAGAATGGGAGCCTTTCAGACACAAATGTAACATTTCATTTTCAAGGTTATTTAATTTTTTTAAAAAAAGCAATTTAGGATTCTTTTTTTTTCTTCTTTTTAATTAGACTTCTAGCAACATCCAGATGTCTCTTCAGTTTCATTTCTCAGTGAATTAGCTATTCACCAAAAACTTCTTGCCTGCTTTTATGATCCCAAAGTCAGTACCATTGTTGAGGACAGTTTTAGAAACCCCTAGAAATACAGGGCTGTATAAGGGATTATTGCTTGGTTGCATTTTTTTCAGGCAGTAGCAGATTCTTAGTCTCCCTGATCCAGTGATGTTTGTATTTCAGTATATGTGTGTGTATATATGTATATGTATATATATATATATATATATATATATATATGTATATATATATATATGGCGCTGTGACAGAAAGGGAAGACATGTCAGCTACCTCAGACCCTACTAACAGAGTGCCAGAATAAAAACTTGCTTTGTACCAATTGAAGCTGCTGAAAATTGTAAGTACAGTCCAGGTGTACAGTGTACCTTTCAGATGGGCAGCACGTGATGGCTGGTTGCGTGCAGGTGAGCCAGTGGTAAGGAGCTATTGTCAAACCACGATGGATCAGAGAATCTGCATCCACATTGGTCTGTCCTGTCACCTTTCCCCCCACTGGGGAACATGAAATGAAATAAAATGCAAAGTAATGATCCCTGCAAAGTACTGTAATAAAAAATAACCTCCATCCCTTCCCCTCTAGACAAGATCTGTCACGAGGAGCTGCCCGCAGGAGATTATGTTCTTTAAAGCAGAGGAAGTTCAGCTTCTTGTTGCTATTCCAGAATGGCTTGGTGCAGGCCCCTCAGATATATTCATTCCCTTAAGTCATTTAAGGAAAATTAGCTGCCATAAGAGCATAAAACCACATTTTAAGTATTACTGCATAGGAGGATTTTTCTTCTGCTGCTGCAGTATGAAAGATAAGCTGTTTCCTTTGAAAAAAGTTCATTCTGGAGAGAGGAGGATGACTAAATAAGTCAAGTGGGTATGAGGCACATACACAATGCCACATGATTCCAGCATTACATGGTCCAGGGCTGAGTGTTTACTGTAGTCACTGTATAAAAATAAACAAAAGCGTCTCTAGTTCTCTTTTTCTCTAGTTTGCTCTTTTGCTCACACATTTTACAATGTGCGCTTATTTTATTTTTAAAGAGTTTCAAATTTCATAGTGACCACATATTAGGAGGAAGAGGATGGGTCAATATATAAGACACCAAAAGCTTCCAGTCATTCTCTGTCATTGATTTTGAAACAATCACTCCTGATAGTAAGTCACTGTCATTTTGTTGGCCTATTTGAATTGGGGGCTTGCTCTCAGCTCCAGGTCTAGTTTTGTCAGTACTGCAGACGAGACTGAAGTGGCAAACTTGTTCTTCATCTTTTACTGCTGGCTGAAGGTGTTTCTGTTTGCAAGTACCATTCCCTTCCCATACTCCAGACATCACTGCCTTCCCACCTCTGCAGCTGTGATACATGTAGATGTTTCCCCTCTTCCTATTGGGCCAAGGTAGATGAATTTGTTCGGAACATGAATGGAGCATTTAAACCAATTCAGCTGACTTTTGCCTGAAGTACCTCAGACAGTGTTCTTATGAACCATTACAGCAACTATAAACAGTGGGACCAGAAAGTTCCTGTGGGGTGTAGAGAGCTGTTGGGAAAATGGACGTCTGTAGTCCAGGCAAGGAATCTGATAAATCATATAAGCACGGCTGACTTTAAACACATAAACAGTCTGGTTGACTTCAGCAGGTCTCCTTGTGTGCTTATTTAAGCAGGTCTTCAAATGTTTTGGATAGGGGATCAAAAACTCAGCAATGGCAAGCTCAGACTGTAGATGGTCTGTGGAGATCAAACAGTGCTTATCTCTGGGATAACATGAAGCCTCAGAAACAGAGAGCAGTACTGCTCTCTGCTTGATTGACTGGGCTGGTTTTGCATAGCCATAGAGCAATTTTCCTGAGGAGCAAATAACTCTTTAGGACAAGTTCACTGAGTGAACTTAGGTAGCGTACTCAATGCTAACTCAGTCCCCTTGAGCATGTACATTATCATATGATCTTTGTGTTTGTGTTACTCACTTGGTCAAACCCTTGCCTCACTGAGTTCTCCAAATGGGAAACTTTTCCATAATAAATAGCCATTTGGAGTATTGTTTCAGGAGCTTTAGTGTTGGTTGTACAGCCTCATCCTGTACTTACTGTGCATTATTCTGATCCTACACTGACGATAGGATTGTTAACTCCCTTGTGGGCTTTTTATTTTTGTTTATTTCTATGCCATGAGAGCATTTCAGAAAATTTAATTATTTTTTCTGGGCACCTTCATGAGAGACAATTACATTGTACTTGTATGATTCGAGAACAGAGGCTGAGACAGGTACAGCAGAAGTACCTACTCATTTGACATAGATAATTTAAGATGACTGGAACCAGATTGGTTTCATGTCATTCACCTCTTTTTCTTTGCTTATTTTCATTGAAGCTGGAGACTTACATGCAAATGTTTCCAGTATTAGGCACTATTAATCTTGTGCCCTGACTGAGCTGGAAACTTGACAAACAACAAAAAATAAAACCAACACAAAATCCCCACCTACCTGATGTGTGCTCACTAATTATCACCTCCTTTGCCACGCACACATATGCCAAAGTCTTAAATTATTTTTATGCAGGAAACATTTCCCTTTCAATTCCTCGCTTTGAAGCATTGCTGCCTTTGCATACTTTCAATACCATTCTGAGTGAAAGCTTTCTTTGATTCAAAACCAAACATACAGCCAAAACGTAATGCCAGTGTGCTCAAGTCTGAGTCATCTGCTGGGCTGGAACCTTTGGATGCACCACACAGATACTTGCTACATGAGCTGATGAGTTTGCTGATGGCAATGTGCTGCTGCTATGGACTAGTGTGAGGGAGGAAAAGGGACGCTTTGCCTACGGGCTTTATGGGCATCTGCTGACAAGGGAATTAATAAAAAGAAAGGATGAGTAAACGTAATACTGCAGACATGGGGGGTGGCAGTTAAGGATGAATAACCACTTCTTTGGTTTTAAGAGATTTTTTAAGATTCCGTGTGCTGGCTTAGACTTAGACAAAAGCATCATAATTTTCAGTCTTGCTGCATCTGTGGAGGTCTTATTTTTGATCCACATAGATTTGGGTGTGCATGTGCTAGGACTACAGAAGACCTGACTTTTGTCTGATAAGTCAATGTAGGTCTAGATTGTTTGGCAGATAGCTGCATTTCTCTTCACAAGAATATATCTGCCTTCTTCCAAACATAATGGCTGTACTCT